GAAGAGACCTTCTTCTCATTATTCAAGATGGCAGTCAGAGCTCCTGCTGCATCCCACACAGTGGGTTGGAGGCAGGAAAGGAAAGACAGTCTCCTTCTGCAAAGACCTTCCTGAAAGGAGAACTCCACTCTATGAACCAGAACACAGTTGCCAGGAAAACTGAAAACTGTGACCAACTAGTATTTTATGTAGTCAGTCGTGTGCCCAGAAAACTGTGGCTTGTGTTACAATGGAAAATTAGAGAGAAGGAATTTGGAAGGACAGGTATTGGTCCCTGGTATCTCCAACCTGGGATGCCTCACAGATTTATGTTTTTCCTGGGGATCCTCTGCTCTCATCCCTCTGAGTGCTGGTTTCTCAAGTGGCATCTTCCTCAAGGCAGGTCGTAATTACTTGCCCCACTCAGTTTGGCTAGTTTTCTTCCCAGATTCCTTCCATAGCTCCACACCTCACCTGTAAGCTTCACTACCTCCCCACTGCCAGGTTTTGTCTAACTATAACAGGCAACACAATCATTTTGTTATAAAAGTTAAAAACCAGAACTAAACACTTAGGAGGAATTCCAATATCAAAAAAAAACATTGGCCCTTGGAAATACTCTAAGTGTTCTGTGAAACAGACACCTATCATTTCCCCAAGTAGGTAAGTTGATATGTGATGAAGACCTAGTCTGCACACTGTCTTTAACTTCTATTACACTGAACAGTATATTGAGAGTGATGCTTCATGCTAAAGGTTGTTGGTCAACATTATCAGCTTTAATGAGACAAGAGTTCTCACTATGTCAATGCATTGTTATACCTTACTCAACCTCTTCCTCATCTTGCTCACATACCCTCCACTTTCCTTCTTCACAGAGAGCTGTGTCTTTGAATTCTCTAAGCCCCCGCTCCCCTTACACTATCTACAGCTCGGTTATCCCATCTCCAAAGGGATGCAAGGTCTCCTCTCTACAATCTACCTGTATTCCATTTTCAAATAATTATTGTAGAGGGGGAGGGAGCTAGGAGAATGAAAAGAGGAGAAGAAGAGGGATGTCAAGGACATGAGGGAGCAGAAAGTATTAGTCAAGGGAAGAATACATGATAACAAGAATGGAAATATCATAATAGAGGGAGACATTTTTGGTTTACAGAGAAATCAGGCACTAGGGAAATGTCTGGAGATCTACAAAGATGACACCAGCTAACTATCTCAGCAATGGAGGCGAGGCTAACTTAAATGTACTCCCCTGATTATGAGATTGATAACTGACTTATATGCCATCCTATAGCCTTCATCCAGCATCTGATGGAAATAGAAGCAGACACCCATAACTAATCACTGAACTGAACTGGAACCCAGAGAAGGACCAGTGAAGAGCACAGAGGTCCAGTCCAGGCTGGTGAAACCCACAGAAACAGCTGACCTGAACATCCGGGAACTCTTGCTCCCCAGTCTGATAGCTGGAATACCAGCATGGGACTGATCCAGACCCCAGGAACATGGGTTTCTGTGAGGAAACCTCAGAAATCTATGGGACCTCCTGTAGAAGCCCAGTATTTATCCCTAGCATAGGTGTGGACTTTGGGAGCCCACTCCATATAGAGAATACTCCCTGAGCCAAGATACACAGGGGTGAGCCTAGGCCCTATCCCAAAGGATACAATAGACACTGATGACACCCTATGGAAGGCCTCACCGGGGGAGCAGAAAAGATAGGTGACAGATAAGGTTTTAGTTGGGGGGGTAGGGGAGCACAGGTGGGAGAAGGGAACTGGGATTGTTATGTAAAACAATCCTGTTTCTAATTCAAATTAAAAAAAAAAGTTGGAAAAAAAATAATCATTGTAGAGCCAGAAATTCCCAGAAGGCCTGAATTAAAGCCATCCTATTCCCCTAGAAACCCCAAAATATTTCAATGCAAGTGGACAGCTTCATCCTACTGCCCAGAAAAGTACACATAAATATCTCAGGTGAAAAAAAGGCTTTTGTTGGAACCTGAGTTGTTAGAACTTTCAGTGTGCCGAGCCAACCTCAAATAAGACCACATTGAGGCCATTCCTGTGTGGAGAAACCAGTCTCAATTATGAAAAACAATACAATGCATTTGACTGAATTAATTATTTAGACAGACGACTAATCTGACAGATGATGATTCACAAGCTGATTTATTTTTTTCAAAATCTATGATTGATTCCTGACTAATTGTTTCCTACACTCAGTTGAGTTTCCTAATGATCCAAATGCTCCTGAGGTCTACAGTTTCTGAAGAAGGCTGGAGACAAATTATGCTTCTCACAAACCACTTCCCATTTGCAGGTGGTTTCTACTTCCACTTTCTTCCCATCAGTGCTGAGAAGTATGCAGAAGTGGTGTCATTAGTTCTCCATTATACATGATGCTAATAAAGGAAGACATTCAGTGAGCACATATTATATTCTAGGCAAGATGTAAAATGCATTATGGATATCCTTTATTGCTCACAAAAGCCTTAATGAGGTAGACATTCTACTAACACCCTGTTTTATACATGAACATAGTTCAAAAAAATATTAAACAACCCTAATCACATAAGTAGAAAGATGGTACAACCAGAATGCAAAATCAGTATGCACCCAGAAAGAATCTTTGACTAACTGTACTGGCTGGATTTTTGCCAACTTGATACAAGCTAAAGTCATCTGAGAGGAGGGAACCTCAATTGAGAAAATGCCTCCATAAGATCATGGGTATAGGCAATCCTGTAGGCCATTTTCTTAATTAGCAACTGATATGGGAGGGACCAGCCCATTGTGGGTGGTACCACTCTAGGCTGGTACTCCTGAGTTCTATAAAAAAGCAGGCTGAACAAGCAAGGAGAGCAATCCAGTAAGCAGCACCCTTCCATGGCCTTTGTATCAGCTCCTGCCTCCAGGTTCCTGCTCTGTTTGAGTTCCTATCCTGTCTTCCTTGGATCAGTGACATGGAAGTGTAATCCAAAGGGTTTATACCCCTATCTCCCCAAATTGCATTTGGTCATGGTATTTCATTACAGTGATAGTAAGCCAGACTAACACACTCACTCAAACCCACATAGCTGTAAGTAGAGTCTAAACCATATTCCTGATATCAGGATTAAGAGCTAAAGCTCCAGACTCAGGTAGCCTGGGTTCAGAGCTGATATTTATCAATTCCCAAGTGTGTCACCTTACACAAGTTACCAAACCACTGGGCCTCTGTCAGCTTCTTCAGTAAACCAGATGGTGAACTTCTGTCTCAAAAGGTTCCTATGTTGTTTCCATTTCCTAAATATTGTGAATAGAGCAGCAATGCCCCACACCTGAGGCTTGGGGAACATTGTGGAAGAGGGGCAGAGAATGTAAGAGCCAGAGGATCAGGGAGTTTGAGATTGTGTCTCATAGTAATATCTGAAATTATTCCCATGAGGTCTCACCAACATGCTACCCAAATAAAAGCTGAACAAGGATGATGCCACTGTTGTTTCCAGATAACTTTGTAGTGAGATAAAAGATGCACGCATATAAATTCTTCCCAATATATATGTACACACACACACACACACACACACACACACACACACACACACACAATAAAGTGCATAGATCTTAGAAATAAGTGGAAACAATAAAGTATAGCCACAAACTCCAATTCAAATCAAAGTATAAAACTAAGGTGTTGCTAAGGTATGCTAAGGTGGATGGGAAAAAAAAACCCTGAGGCCTCAAAACTACACAAAGAACTATAGGAAACTGAGGAAAGCTGGAACAGGAGGCATGCCCACCCCAGGGAAGAGAACACCAGTTGGTTGTCCAGTGCCCAATAGTCAACACTGAAAACATACATACAAGTAACATTATCTGGACTGAACTGGTTGTATTGGGGAATATACTTACGTACATGAATGTACATACAAAACATACATACAAAGCATACAAAAACAACTGGTGAAGGAAGAGACTATAAATTTGAGGGACAGTGGAGAGATTTGGAGGGAGGAATGGGAAGGCAGAAATGTGAAAACTCTATCATAATCTCAAAAATAAAAAAAATAAATCTTTGTCCAAAAAAGGGGTGGGATTACTATGATGGTTGCTGTTAATTGAAAATTCAACAGGATCTAGAATCATCTAAGAGATGGACAGCAGGCTCTGAGTGTACCTCTGGGGATTACTTTGATTATGCTAACTGATGTGAGGAAACCCATCTTAATTGTAAGCACGACCATTACTTGGGCAGGAGATGATCTTGGACTGTGTAAAACTGAAAAAGAGAATTGAGCACTTGGAAGCAGTCATTGCTGTTTCTTGGCCAAAGCTGTGGTGTGAGCAGCTGCTTCAAGCTTCTGTTGTCATGCCTTCCCCATCATGATGGGTACCTTGAATTGTGAGCCAAATAAACTCTTTCTCCTTAAAATTGCTTTTTGCAGAGTACCTCATCGCAGAGCAGGAAAAGAAAATAATACAGCCACCTACACTAAATGAGCTAGGTGGTATACACACAGCCATCATTAGTAGTTGGTATGAGACCTTCCATCCCTCCAGACTGAAGCTCGGTTCCTATTTTCTGGTCTGTGCCATTGCAGGTGCCTCGAGCCAAGGCCTTGTGTAACTACAGAGGGAAGAATCCTGGTGACCTGAAGTTTAATAAAGGAGATGTCATCCTTCTCCGGAGACAGCTTGATGAGAACTGGTACCAGGGAGAGATCAATGGGGTCAGTGGGATCTTCCCTGCCAGCTCCGTGGAGGTCATCAAGCAGCTGCCCCAGCCACCGCCGCTCTGCAGGGCCCTCTATAACTTTGACCTTCGCGACAAGGATAAGAGTGAGAACCAGGACTGCCTAACCTTCCTCAAGGTAATCATAGACCACATACAGATTATGGGAGAAGCCACAGTCCATTGTTTAGTACTTGATGTTTTTAAAAAGTATGCAAAAAAGTATGCATGTTACATGAATGCACTCGTGTGTGTGTGTGTGTGTGTGTGTGTGTGTGTGTGTGTGTGTGTGTGTGTGCATACACG